AATAAATAAATAATAAACTATTATTCGGTTTTTTTGGACTATTCGGTTCATATTTTATAAACCATAACCAATCTGAAATCCAAAATAATTATTCGGTTTTGTCGAAAACCAATCCAAATCCGAATATCCGAACCAAACAGTCCAATCCAAATTGTCCAATTGGACAATTCGGTTTTATCCAAATACTGAACAGCTCTAGCAACAACGGATTTCGAGGATGAAATCTGATTCAAGTAGGGGAGAGTTACAAGGCCCGATTCCAGGTATGACTTTCAATTCTTAATTTTAAGAAATTTGGTTGGCCACGACGTCGTGAAGGGATCACCACGATGTGACATATCTACATGAAACACGTGTTTCACTTGGCCGCCACGACGTGGACAATCATTGGCCAATGCCTTATTTAAAGGAAGTGATGGTTAGGGTTTCCTCCACCCTCAACCTCCATCACATCCAAAAGTATCCTTATGCAACCCTATCCTATTTGCAAGCTTTGAGCTTATTTTTCTGTCCTTTGATGCACTTTGAAGGAAGAAGAATAAGATTTTAGTACAAGAACAAGCAAGCAACTCATCTCCATCTTTGGGATCACTCTCTAGACCATTTGTAAGACTTCATGACTTGATCTTTTTGGTCCCTTCTTAGTAGATCTAGGGTTAATTGCATATTTGGGTTCATGGTTGTGATTTAAATGATTCAATGAGATAAAGTTTGTAACTTTATGACCCATCAAGGTCCTTTGAGCTTAATACCTTCTTGGTCTAGACGTTGGTTGAGTTTTTAGAAGTCATACATGGGTTTAGGTCATTTTTCTCATATTTTGACCTAGTTGAGTGAAGGACATGCATGGGTAATGCATGTCCATAAAGTTCATATTAACTTGAACCATTATGGTCCCAAGAAGCATTCTGTAAAGTTAGAGCTGAAAGCTTAACAGACTGAGAGCTTAATCCATTAAGCTGTCTTTATGCAGTTTCCACGACGTGGTGACTTGCTTGCCACGACGTGAAGGTTGGTATCGTTGCGACTGTTTTGTCTGGACTCTGCCATGTCATGGTGGCCTGTCTGCCATGACATGGTAGGGGATTTTGATCGGGATCAAGTTGGATTTCCACGACATGGCCATTGGTTGCCCATTACGTGGAGGTCAACTGAAGTTGACTTTGACCGTTGACTTTTTGACTTGGTTTACTTTTAGTAATATTTCTAGTTTTAAAAGGTAGACTAAGGGTTTAACTTGTATGATTCATTAGGTGGTGTGTAGCATCCACTTTTCGACTATGTGAGCTTGTTAGTTGTCGACTACATTGTGAGGTGAGTCTTCTTACTATACTATGTAGGATACTAGAATGTCTTTATGAATCTTGCATCAAAAGCTGTTTTTTAGATCACAACACTTGTATGGAATACCATGGTTGGATCATGGCAGGAAAGACTGTAGCTGGGTTGTAGCAATGGAAGTGACTGTAAGACTATGGTTGGATCATAGTATTCACATGGGTTGAAAAATACCCTTAGGGATGGGCCCACTAATATGTATGGTATGTGGTAATTTGGGGAACTCACTAAGCTTTGTTTCAAACATAATCTGGGGATGCCGTGCGATCAAGTCTGATTATATTTTTGGGAATGAATGAATGAATGCTATTGGATAAATTTTTACCCAATATTTTTGGGACATCACAATTACTCTCTATTACAGTAGAGCAATTTCATTTTTTTCTTATTATGACATTAAACTTTATAAATCCACACAATTATAACATCATACTTTAAGTTTTGTACTTATTGAGCTGAATATTATATTTTAAAATTTGTCTCGCTATCACCCAATCGAGCTTTTAAGGGATAGAGAAAAGGAAGAAAAGAAAGATGGTCACTCCTTTTAGGAACATGACTCGTTTATTCACTTTCTAGTTATAGAACAGAAACTATTTCGTATTTTCATAACACGTACACAATTAGGTATAGTTTTCCAAGTACAATAATGTATTAGGAAAAAATGAAAGTGGAATTTTATACTAAACATATCAATCAAAGTATCTTACTATTTCTTGCATTTATTCCACATGTTTACACAGTTGCAAGGTCATAAATCAAGGATTGAGGAAAAGTATTAGCGATCTCCAATTAATGATCACTATTTATGAAGTTTAATGAAAGAATGACACCTTAATACTATATACAACCAATATTTTTCTTATCTTTGGGTTCCTATTCTGAAGGTCATATATAATTGAATTATAAACATCCTCTTTCTGCAAATCAAACACCATATTGCCAAAACATTAGAATAACTTTAAAATATAAAAGGAAACAAAGAAGCCATTTGTAGAATTCTTCTTTCAGTTTTTTTCTTATTAGAAGATTGTATTTTTAAAAGTTTACCATACTATACTAATGAAATTTGCTTTATATTTGAATCATATTGTTATAATAAAGTACAATGATTTAATAATGATTAATGAAAGTATGATGTTATAATAAACAAATAAACTAAAGTATGTTGTTATTTCTTGTATTTAATCCTCTATTTAAACGAAACGTCACATAAAAAGAATACATGTTCATGAAGAAAGTATGTTGAAACAAATTTTAGTGAATATGAGCTTAATTTATAATATCTTTTCATAAGCTGCATAATATAAGACAATGAATCAAAATCTTATAGTTATCCATATATATCAACTTATTCATTCAATAAAATTTTATGAAAGAAATTACCTGAATTAAATCCTACTGAACTCTCCCTTCCAAAGTAACTTCTTTACTTTCCCTTGTACCATAGTGTATGCAATATAAATCAATATTGTAAAAATTAAGTGTTATGTAGAACTTTGTTTAGTAAAATCATGCAAAATTTTGATTATCTAAAAAAAGTTATGTTTCATAAATAAATACATGTGATGCAATCTTGCCCTGTAAGAGTGTGTTTGTTACACAGAACATGACCAGATGAGACTGGAAAAGCTTTCCATGGTTATTTTTGATGATTAAGATGGGAAGGGCATTCAAATTTTTTGCACATATGAGTGGTCAAGAGCAAGATCATGTTCTACCATTTCCAAATTTTTAGGTGGTATAAAAATTAGAATATGAGTAGTGCTTTAAATCACCAACATCTTCAAATTAAACCTTAGACCGACCCTCATTTGACTATGTTTTCTATTTTGGTTCTTGGAATATGAAGATGGAGCTTGATATTTAGATAATCAAGAAAGTGGGAGACGTTTTAGTGAAATCAATCTAGAACTTCATGCATTTGAAACTTGATCGCACCCTTAATCACACCATGTGGAATCGATAGTAGATATGTGTCATTAAAGCCCTAGAAATCAATAAGAGGTAAGGGGTTTGAGATTTTCAACGAGAATCAATAGTAGGTGTGTACCTTTGGAGCCATATTATTCGATTTTGAGAGAAGAAAAACGGGAGTTCTTCGACTGGACGTCGCTTGTTAAATGAAGAGAATTAATTTAAACAAAAGAATGAAGGAAATATAAATAAAAAAAAGATGACATTTTTTATAACATATATTTTTCTGTCACTAAAACATGACATAATAAATATATGTCGTACATCCTTCAAATTTTTCAAAAGATGACATTTTTTTATAACATATATATTTTTGTATGTCATAAAACTAGTGCGTGTGATAGTTTGTATGTACCAACTACTTTCTCCCGATTCTCTCCACTCTATGGTTCCAATCCTATTCTTTTGCCATCTACCTTGTATGATTCAAACAATTTTTTGTGAAGACGTGTGTGTCATTGTTAGTTATTTCAACAACAGGCAATTGGTAATACTATAAGGGAACTCATCGTGTATATCCTAGTAGTGGTGGGAGGGTTATCACCACTAGGGGTGGAAATCGTGTCAGGTTCGGATTGGCGGGTCGCGGGTTGGTAGGTCAGAATGCATCAATCTGTACACGACCTGTATAATTATCCGTGTCGCGGGTTACCGGGTCACGGGTTGACGGGTTAGAAACATCAAATTGAATACAGCTCGTCTAACTCGTTTAATTATACGAGTTCGTGGGTCAAAGACGCAATAAGCATAGGCTGATGGACGTAGTCGCATAAATTAAATCTAATATATTATAGAGTGAACCACAAAATATTGGACTACCTTCGAGGAGCTTGCTTTAAAATGGTAATACCCTTAAAAAAATAGGTTGGCGGGTTGACCCAAAACCCAATTACTAACACGAACACAACCGTTTATTTGGCGGGTTGACAGGTCAGAAATCTCAACCCAAACCCGTTTATTTTCATGTCGAATTTGTGTGGTGTCATGGATCGTATCGAGAATTGTCACCCCTAATCACCGCAATATATGACATATGGGAGGAAGAGGTGGTGTATCGACAATGTATAGAGAGAAAAGTGAGGATAAGGTGGATAGGGTTCTCTTATTTTTAAATAAATAAAATGTTAAATCAAATAGAAACAAAATGTAAACACTATATGAGAACGGTAAATTAGTAAAATTCAAAGATCATCAAATCTACAACTTTATGGACATTTTTTGCAAATATTTTTGTAAAGGGCTTAGAACTAAATAAAATGTTGAAAACATGGACTATTTTTGCACTTTACCCTAACACTTATAAACTCAATTTATGATTTAATAATAAAATAAGAACCTATAATTAACAAATAAGATAACCGAATATCAATGCGTCAGTGTTTAAGTTTTTTTTCTTTTGGATTATATATTATTTGCAATTGCTAAGAAAAGAATAATACGTACCCTTGCAGCAATACAAAACATTATTCTTTACCCTAGATAATGGAAAGTGACATCTTTCATCTTCTCACCCTTACTTCTCTTTAGTCTTTTTGTGCCCCCATAATCAAACACACCTTCCCTATCACATCTACTAAACAAACAAAATAACTATCAACCCTTTTTTCCATCCTTACGCTTACTTATATTCATGCAACATTCACCTGGAAAAGTACACAAAAATCCAACTAATCTATTTAGACGCAATGGAAGTGAAGAAATGGAAATCAAGAAGAGTTATGAAAATATGCTGTGTGGTCGCCACATTGCTTCTGTTAATCTTTCTTCTTATTTCTGTCATCTTATTCTTCACAGTGTTTAAACCAAAAAACCCTAAGGTAACGACACACCCCACGAGCCTAAAGAATGTTGAATTCCAGTTGCACCCTAACGTTAGCATAAATGCAACAATAGTGTTGAATGTGACAATCAGCAATCGCAATCATGGGAGCTTCAAGTTTCAAAACTCTATCGCATATGTTGATTATAGAGGCACTCTAATAGCTGAGATTCCTATTGAACATGCCAAGATTCCAGCTCATGGTAACTTCACCATTACGGCTTATGCTAATGTAACTACAGAAAAAATGGTAACAGATCCAAATTTCTATAATGATATCGATTCAGGTTATTTTAACTTTACGTCCACAGCGATTTTGTATGGGGAAGTAAGTGTTTTTAAGATCATAAAAAAAGGAGCAAAGGTGACGAACGTTTGTAACATTATTGTTGCACTTTTGACAAGAAAAGTTGAGTCAAAATGCCATGCTAAAGTCAAAATGTAAGAATTAATTACGGATGTTGATGTTTCTTATGAACAATGATGAGTTTATTGAGTTTTCGATCTTTATGTGTTCATTATGTGTGATATGTATATAGACATGAGTGGGCTAAGGTTAAATTGGATCAAAAGACACAAGTTTAATAGGCAAGTCCTCAATAGTATTTGGGCTAGGCTCTTCACAATATGAAAATATGGGGACATTGGGGCATTGGGCTAAAGGCAAAGATGAATAATAAAGCCCAATTAGCTATTTGTTTGATGTTTACGGTTCGCAAAACAAAAGTAAAACTAAAACAAAAAAAATTATGCGTCTTCAATTCGTTGCAGCACTTTAGATAGAGCAAGTAAAGAACTAAAAATAAGCTTATTTTTTGTGTGNNATAAAGATGAATTATATATATATATATATATATATATATATATATATATATATATATATATATATAAATGTTCAAATGAAAACCTCTAAATGTTAAGAACCGTAAGAACCATTTTATTAACGGTATTTTCATCACAACAATAAAATTTTATATGTAAGAGTATTACCCTACATACTTTTTCATTGTCTGATATTTTAAGAAACCATATCTCATATTCTCTCTCAAACACAAAACCTAGCAATCTTCTCTTTCATCTTTTTTCTGGGCAGCCTCCGTCACCTTTTTTTTTCCGGCCACTATTGCTCCGTCATGAATAATTATTAGATTTGAAACCACCACGATAATCACTATTAAAATCCACCACATACGTCATAGTTATCGCCATCTGCACAGTCGTCTTCATCGGCTTTGCACAACTTGTTCGTCGCCACTCTCCGCCGCCATTCGTCGCTCCAGATCTGTAGTCGTCCGCCTCCGTTCGTCACACCAGCCTTGCAAACATTCGGCGCACCAGATCCACTACCGTAGCTTCCAGATCTGAGATATTCCTACATCCGACGTTACTTTCATCTGGTAAGATCTGATATTTTTGGTTCGATTTCTTCATATCAAATTCTGCCATTATCACCGTCGACGACGGCTCCACCACCACTGCCGTCTCCATCTCCTCTGATGCCTTCTACCTCTAAAGAAAACAAACACTAACCTCATTTCCTCATATAACAATCTCTAGATCTACAATCTTCAGTGACATATCTACGATTTGTTGTAACAGATCTACAATTTACATCAACATATATACGAGCTCGAGATGAAATCAGATCTTAAATCACGTACATAAACATATCCACAAAAAAACGATGATGATAAGAAAGAAGGTAAAACAGATTTTGAGCTTGTTTTTCTTTAATTTATAAGTAATCTATGATGAAATCTATTGAATAATCAAATAGATTTTCTTAAATCTTTCAAACCCTTTGCCGATGACTAGGGATGCAAGTCCGATTGGAGTTTTTCCTATGATAAAGTTTTTGTATTCAAAATATGTTGCTTCTTAATTCACTGCTGCAACTTTTTCAATGAACGATAGAACATGCGATAGATATTTTTTGGGGATGTAGTTTTGGATTAATTTACAATTTTACCCCTTTTATTAAAACGCCTTCTTTTGAATCGTTTAACATCAAATATTTTCTTCCTTTTTTATTTAACATTTCATAACACACATTTTTATATTTTAATCTCAATTTACTTATTTCTTTGTTAATTATTATTGTACTAAGTTCAATTTAAACGAATTTTTTATTAACTATTATTTATTATATTATATTAAGTTGTGGCTGTATTTGAATTAATTATATTAAACTGTGAATTAACTATATTAAGATGTGAATTTTTTTTAAGAAACTTGTGTTAATATTTTTATGCATTTATGAATTATTAATTATTATATTATATTAAATGTATAGATCTACAATTTTTGTCAACATTGATGTACAGCTCTACAAGCTCCGACGAGATTTGGTTTCGTTTTCTTCAAGTCTCAGATTTGGTGAAACACCGCCAACTTGTCTCCATCTTTTTCTCTCTGATCTCTGGTGAAACACCGCCAGATCTACACATCAGGTATGTCAATTTTTGTGTTGATTATTTTTCCTTTTGTTAAACTGTGAATTTAATGTTTTAATCTATTTTTTATTGTTTATTTTTTCTTAATATTAGTTTTAACTACTATTAAGTTGTGAATCCAATGTTATTAATACGCGAATCCAAGTTTATGTTCTTATTTGTTATGATACTTGCATAGATTTTTGTTTCATAACTTAGGTTTTTTAGTTGTTATGTTGTGAATTGAATTTAAAATGTGTTATAATGTTAATGTTTCTCAAATAATGTGAATCTAGGTTTTTTAAGTTGTGAATTGTGATGTTTAAATGTTCAAATTAATTTTTTAGTCAAGTTAATTATATTAGTTTTAAATGTTATGAATAAAAAAATGTTAGTTTTATGTTGTGAATTCATGATTTGTTATAAGTTTAAGTTGTGAATATATGATTTTTTATAAGTTTTAAGCTGTGAATGCATGGTTTATATTTATTATTCTACTTACATCTATTATAGATCTCTATGGTGTATTTCTTTTATCGTTTTTGTTCTTCTGTTAAGGTGTGAATTTAATGTTTTAATCTCTCATTTGCTTTTTTTATAATCTTATTGTTAACTTCTATTAAGATGTGAATTTTCTGTTTAAACTGTGAGTTGACTATATAAGATGTGAAATTTGTGTATTAAATTGTTCGTTCATAGTATTAAGCTGTAAATTTTGTGTATTAAACCGTGAATTAATCATATTAAGAGTGTTAAGTTGATAATATGGTTGTGAATGCATATTTTTTGTATTTTAAACTGAGATTTGTTGTACTAAGCTATGAACTTTGTATATTAAGATGTGATTTTTGTGTTTTAAATTGTGAATTGACTACATTGATTTGTGATTATTTTGTTTAAAGTGTGAATTGTTTGTATTAAGCTATGAATTTTTTGTATTAAACTGTGATTTTGTGTTTTAAACTATGAATTGAATGCATTAAGTTATTAAATTTCTATATTAAACTGTGAATTTTTTTATGTTAAACTGTATTTTTGTGTTTAAAAATGTGAATTGACTGCATTAAACTATGGATTTTCTGTTTAAATTGTGATTTGACTACATTTTGCTGTGAATTTTTTTTAATTTGTGTTAAAATATGAATGATTTAAGTATAACTTTTTGTGTTAAATTTCTTATGAATATATTTATTTTTTTGTTGTATAAATTTGTAAGAATCCACTAGTTTTTATAATTGTTTTGCATTAAATTCAAAACGAGTGAATTAATAGGCTTAATTAGACTCTGAATGTAGTATTTAAGTTGTTAATGCATGACTTTATTTACAGATCTGATTTGGAGAAATGACAGCTACTATGTTGATACAGGTGGTTGGTGGGAGCATGTGGTGGTAGAGTTTGAGTTTTTGACTTCTTTGAATTAGTGAATTATTGTAAAACAGTTTCTATTAAGTTGTGATTTTTTTGCATTAAACTGTTAATGGACTGTATAAATCTATATTTTATATAAGTTTTGTGTTCAAATATGAGAGCATATACGGGTGAAAATATTAGACTGTAAAATTATAAGTTTGCTCTTTTCGTACAAAAAACACAAAAAAAATTAGGATTTTAACATGTTTAATAAGAGTATCTTGTAAATATTTACTGATTAATTGGGGTTCTTAGGGTTCTTAATCATTTGAACCACTCCCTATATATA